CTTTCCTTTTCACAGGTAGTTTTTAGGTGTTAAGGTGTCCAAAATGTTATGGCAACCGGACGATATTCCAGTGGTGGCGGGCATTTATTTTTGATCGTTATTCCCCATGACATTTCTCTACAGTTTGACTATTTCATGCACGCTGACAAGCTGGCGGTGTGGCTTATGCTCCCTCCACGTTGTCCATCGTGCTCCAGATCGCATTCAACTTGGTGCCGCCAGAGAGGCTCATATATTTTCCCAGCAAAATCAGCTAAGGTAGTATTCTGCAATCACGTTGTCGCATTGTCCCTGTGCCCTCTTGAAAGGCAGCGGCCAGAGCATTCTCCTTGTCCCTTATTTTAAATGCATCGGAGTCATTCTAGACCGTCGTCTCATGTTTCGCGTGAATATCACAGACCTTCGACATTCGAAAAGGCTTCAACCTTGACAAGACCTTTTGATTGGAGTACGTCTCCATCCATTTAGACTGCGCCGATTCGACCGACCTCGGATTAATGTGCGTTCCTATTTGTTGATACATCTCCCTCTCAAAGTTGTCCCTTTGAGGCTGTCCGAAACCTCATTTCCTTTCGGTTCGTCACAGGTGCTGTTCAGACATCACGAATGGATGCCTGTCGGTTGACACGAGCTGTGCAACGGCTGCCCCGTAAGCGCAAACCACAGTTCCTTCTTTACTACACCCGCGTCTTATTGTTTCCCAACCACGTTTTCCGTTCCATACTATGCAACCTGCGACTAACAGAAATCTTCCACATGCAGCAAGCAAGGGCCCATCACAAGTGTAGGCATTCAGAGTGCAGAAGACCTCCTCCACACCCACCCCACCATTAGTTTCCCCACGCCACAGCCTTACCTCTCTTGGAACGGCCAAACATTTCAATAAGACCCCCCCCCCCTCCCCCCACACTAAACAACATATAAAAGAAGTGGCTCACACTTCAATCAGCTTTACATTGAAAACCTGGGTGACATGTTTGACCACACTGATGACTGCATACGAACGGTGACTATACTGATGACTACAGACGAGCGGTGATTACACTGATGACTGCAGACGAACGGTGACTACACTGATGACTGCAGACGAACGGTGGCTACACTGATGACTACATACGAACGGTGACTACACTGATGACTACAGACGAACGGTGACTACACTGATGACTACGGACGAACGGTGACTACACTGATGACTACAGACGAACGGTGACTACACTGATGACTACAGACGAACGGTGACTACACTGATGACTACAGACGAACGGTGACTATACTGATGACTACAGACGAACGGTGACTACACTGATGACTGCAGGCGAACGGTGACTACACTGATGACTGCAGACGAACGGTGACTACACTGATGACTACAGATGAACGGTGACTACACTGACGACTACAGATGAACGGTGACTACACTGATGACTACAGACGAACGGTGACTACACTGATGACTGTGGGCGGAGCGGATGCATGGGAGCTGCTCTTAATACTTCTGCTATTTGGTTTCGTTCTCGCTTCGTCTTTCCCATTTCCATGCCGCCTGTTTCTGCTGAATCGCTTGCTATCAATGCTGCCCTTCAGCACACACGATATCAGTAACATTTTTAAGCCAACATTTTCGGTGGTTTCCTGTTTTCACTGTACGGTATTGCCGCTAAGAATCATTTTTTACAAACCGATTATAGCACCTCTGGCACTAACGGATATTCTGTCACAGAAGTGAGTTCTCACAATTGAGGCAAATAAGTCTCAGAGGCCAATATGTTGCATACTTTTTCACACGTCATCATATGACCTGTTCGTCGTGTTTGGAAGTCGTTTCTTTGATATATCCGAAGCTAACAGGCGCCATGCAGCCTTTGCAAAGAAAGGAATTCCGAGTTACACCCATTTTTTCTTATTCTAAAACCGCAAAATTTGTCGTTGAAAACATGGCTAATGCCAACGAGTAGCAGTAAAGAGTTGATGTCTACATGAGGAAGATGCTTGGAATGTCAAACTTGTCACGTATGCATGCAATGTAATGCAATACAGTATAATGTGGTTATACCTTTTTGTCCCACCTCCGTATCTCCTTTTCCTTTCCAGCCAGCTAAGCTTGTTGAGACGCTAAAAGTCGTTCAAAGCATCGGTGGTAAAGCTGGAAATAGCATTCGAATCCAACAAAAATGGATCGCATTTGCAGGAGGCGTACGTCTCTGTGTGGGTTTGCTAGTGAACCCACTGAAGTGCATCGCATAAGACGGCGTGAACAATAAATAAATGGTCAGGAAATCTCACCAGCAGTCTGTTGGTGGTGTGCTCGTACATGCGTCTATGCCGACACTGAACGTCCCAGGCGGTATTCGCAGATCCTGAAAGAATTTTCCTCGTCCTGAACGCAGGCTTAAGATAAACGGCGGCGGCATTGTTAATACACGGCGCGTTCGTGTTGGACATGCGTTCGAAGTAGCATTCAAAGGGCAATTTAAAACAGGGACGGATGATCCTGTAGGTTGAAGGTGGATATGATGTTAGAGTCCATTATGGACAGAATTGTTTCGGCGAGAAGGATGGTTTGACTGTAGTACTAGGTCATTTGGGCCACAGCATTAAGGCCCCTGTTGTTTCTGTGACTAAAATGTTAGTATGTACTCCCAGTGCGACTTCTGTACCGTAGCACGACTTAACTGTTTTCAATGGCAAACAACAACGGCCTGTATTCTAGGTTTAGCGCGAACCCACTGACCCGCCCGACCTCTGCGGAGTAGTCCAGCGGGTCTAGCAAGCTCCGTTGATGCGTGAACTGCAGAACACCGTACTTCCGCTGACCAGCAGCAATCATGGCTCACGTCGTTAAGGCCAAGAAACGGACCTGCGGTCTACAGGCCCGGCCCCGTCCTGACCGGCACCCGCGCGCCGTGCCGTGTGTGCAGCCGGCGCCCCGGCGGGAGACCCGACCGGCGCCGGCCGCCCGTCATCGGCCGATGATCAGAGGCGCCGCCGACCGGGCCGCCGCAGGTCCTCGGGCCGGTCCGGCAGTGCGGCGGCGGCGTCATCGCGCTGACGGTCCGGCCGCACCGCCGGCGCCGGCCGTCGCGGCCCCTGGCGGCGGCGGCGGCCGGGCCGAGCGGCGCGCCTGCCCCCTGGCGGCGCCCGCGGCCGCTCTCGGCCGAGCGGCGCGCCTGCCCCCTGGCGGCGCCCGCGGCCGCTCTCGGCCGTGCAAGCCGCGCCGCCCGGCCTGACGCGCCGTTTACGAGCCGGGAAGAATCCGCCGCGAGATGGTATGATGCGCCGGCGGCCGCGCGCGCCAATGGGCTGCTAAGTGGCCGAACCAGGGTCACTCACTCGCCCGGCCCCGCGGCCGGCCGTAGAATGCGCACACACATGGCCGATCATCTGCGTCCGGGTGTGTGGGTTCACGTAAGCATGCTCCTATGGCGTGCGCGCTTGAATGGCCGCGTGGTTGCAGGTGTGACAATGTTTGAACGAGCTGCTCATTGCGTTCGCGCGCAAATTTGCAAGTGTGTGTTCTGGGTGTCCTGCACAGGTGTGCATTATGGACAATAAACTTGGCTCGTTCGTGTTGAATGTAGTGTAGTTCAGAGAACTGTCACCAGGGATACCGGTAGCGTAGTGGTAAACGCGTCTGCGTTAACCACTTCGTGTCTGGGGAATCAGAGGTACGGGGTTCGATTCCCCGCGGTGCCCGCCTTTCCTACCAGGGTGAGAGGCAGGCGACGCCATCTAGCCTCAGCAGCTGAGTGCGTCGTCAAGCCCCAATAACACACACACGAGGATTATCACCAAAGCCAAGGCGGCCTATGAGCTGCTGGAAAACGTCTCATTACGACTTGGCTGCATGAACTGCACCTTAAAACATCGGTAGTGGGATAAGGGCTTCTTTATTCCATGTGAACAATGCATTAGTTGTTGATTGTTGGATCCTGTCCATGCACTTTTACAGTTATGTCCTATCGGCCAGTCTGCACAGTATTTGACCAAAGTGCCGTGAAAGGGATCGTGCTTTGTGATGTGCAGGGAGGGCATTTAGATGGGATACAAACGGACGGCATTTGGACAAGCCCGCGCTGGTGGAAGCACTTCCCACCAGGCATCGATCGATCCGCGCGGGCGTGATGGGCTGGGAATCCGTCGGAATTTGTTGATGATCTGCGTAATTTGTATGCCAAGGAGTGTCCGGGGGGGGGGGGGGGGTAATGGGTGTGTTGTCAGTGCGATGTTATGGTTTTGAAATAGCGTCATATGTGGGTGGAACAGAAACTCGACCTAATTGCGAACAAGCAGTTTGGATGTGTCGGTAGTTTTTGCTGAAGTCAGCATCAACTCGACCGAGAAATCCAAATATCCAGGCAACTGACGCAAAAATATTTGGGGGGGGGGCGGTATCTTTGAACCAGAGAGTCGTAAAATGCTAGCGGTTTTAAAAGCAACCCTGTGAAGCGGGGGTTCAAAGACGAATGACACGTGCACCTAAGCTTTCGTACCCCCCCCCCCCCCCACAACACCATGACGACTCACTCAGGTGTAACCAGCCTCCGGCGCGACCACCGTCTCAGCGCCTGAGGTCCGGTCCCCGGCCGGAACCGTGCTGCCACCTGTCGGGCGGCGGCCGAGTCGACCTCCGCAGGAGCTCCAGACGGACAGAGTCGGCCCGACCTCGGCGGGCGGAGCACGTGCGACCGTGCCGGGCCCGCGCGGCAGCCGTGCCTGCATCGATCGAGCGTGCGGTCGAGGCGAGCACCTGTGTCGCCCGAGACGTCCGGTGGCGTGCAGCGTTCGGCGACACTCGGGCCGTCGCCGTGCGGAGGGGGCGGACTGACGCCGTGCGGGGGTCGGCGGACTGACGGTGTTCTGAGCTGTGCAGACTGACGCCGTGCGGAGGTCGGCGGACTGACGGTGTTCTGAGCTGTGCAGACTGACGCCGTGCGGAGGTCGGCGGACTGACGGTGTTCTGAGCTGTGCAGACTGACGCCGTGCGGAGGTCGGCGGACTGACGCTGGGATGAGGTCGGCGGACTGACGCTGGGATGAGGTCAGCTGACTGACGGTGTTCTGAGCTGCGCAGACCGACGTCGTGCGGAGGTCGGCGGACTGACGCCGAGCGGAATCGGGCAGACTGCGCCGACCGGAGGCCAACAGAGCGCCTTGAGTGGAGCTGTGAGGACACCGTGCGGAGGCAGCAGACTGACGTCGTGCATGCGCCGTCGGACTGCGGCCGTGTGAAGGCGAGCGAGCCGTCGCCGCGCGGAGGCGGGCGTTCTGACGCCGTGTGAAGGCCGCCGGACTGACGTCGTTCGGAGGAGGACCCGCGTGTCCGTAACGCGGGTCATGAGGCTCGCAGCGGCGCTGCTCCTGGTCAGCGCGGCCTGGGGCGTGACAGCCTCCCGGGTCACGCTGGAAAACAACGGCTACACTGGCCTAGTGGCCGGCATCGACGACAGAGTGGACGTTCTCCAGTGCAAGCCCATTCTGCGCAATATTCAGGTTTGTTCGAGCGATGGGCGGTACATGGCATCAAGACAGGCTGTCCTGTTGTCCTGTCATCGATGTCCGCGTTTCGATTGAATGCCACAGAGCGGTCATACGTCTCAGCGGGCGGGCTATGGTGTGTACACCGGGAAGACTAGAACGCGCGAGTGACGAGCTGCTCTGATCACACGCTGTGCTAATCAAGGGTCAGGGCAAGTTATTAGTTGCCATTCGGAATGAACCTAGCAGCAGAAATGCGCCTTTTGCTGTTTTGATTGGCACAGTTGAACTGCAAAATTTAAACGAACTTAGAATTTGAGTCTTGAATGTGTAGATACTGTCATAGCCAGCTCATCATTCCCAGTCAATGGTGCTATTGCTCGCACCAAATTTTGGTCTTCTACAGCTCCGGCCGTCGTGAAGCCTGAAGGACCTGAAGATGTTTGGCGTACACCCATGCGTGTATCTCAGCTTCGAAATATTTTGGTAGCCTCGTCCTTTGAACCCTATCGTTTGATTGGTATGCGAACACTCCACCCACTAAGCCACCGAACCACAACTATCCCGTCTTGCCGCACTCGGACATTCTTTCATTTCGCTTATTTCAGCCCTCATGATAGACAATGGCCGACAATAATAGATTGTAGTCATTATTGTAAGAAATGCGCGAACGACGACACTGCACGGGAGGTTGACTTTGCTTGCACCCCACGTGCAAAGCAAAGATATCCTCCGGGGAGCGGCGCACCAGGCGTCATAATGAGTATTAGAATGGATTATTGAGGCGGTGCCAGTGAAAGATTGTTCACGATTAAAACAGGTGGAAACAGCAGTTTTCATCACCTGCCACAAACTACTCAATCCACAGGCGTATAAACTGGCAGCTGGGTGGGGTAGCGGGCCATAGTCCCGTCACTTACGTGAAACTTTAATATGTACCAGAGGCGTCACTTTACATGATTCTGGAGTGCTTGAGCCCTCCTTCTTCCCCGATGGAGATTTTAGTAGTGGCGTGATATGGCGGCATTCACTTCCGACATTCACCTGTTTGTGTAGCTCGTTATATATATATATATATATATATATATATATATATATATTGTTTTACCTTGCTTCGATTCCTTCGCAAGCCCGATATAACACTAAACCGAGAGCGTGCAGCATAAGTGGCAGCACTCACTCGATGTTCCGGCATGCGTTTTCGCGGAAAAGAAGAAATACTTCAACACGACTCCGCTCGCGCGACGGAGGCTCGGGCGGTACTCGCACCACTCCCGCTTTTGTCAACAACGACTGCTATCTCAGTAGCCATGCAGCGTGCCGATTTGTAACGCAGTGTGATGGTGGAGGCGGCCATGAATTAAAAGGACATTGTAGTGATATGCCTTTCACTCTGTTTCACTGCAGGATGAGTGTCAACGCATGGAATGAGCGCAGTTCGTGCGGTGAGTCCAAAGTGAACTGCTGGGGCGATGGTAGTTAATTTTGCGACGAGATCTAGCCGTGAGCACAGCTTTAAGGCGTCGACGTTTCTCCGTGTAACTAATTTTTAGTTTATAATGTTAAACCAGTGGCCCCTGGTGTTCTCAAGGGAGATTATTGTCACCGTAAGATCCCCCTTCTCCATCCTCATAATGCCGAAAACCATGAGCTCAATGCTCTTGCTTTGGGCTCAAAACATAATCAAGATTCGTTGCGCAGCGACCGGAAAACGGGAAAATGTCTAAAACATCGAATATTCTTTACTCTCTCTCTCTCCTTCAAGCTTAGACATGTGGCATTTTCAACAACTTGGTAACTTTTAGTTCCTACGGCACCCTACCTAACATTCAACATCTAGGCCGGTGTTAGCCCACTTTTGGGTGGATAACCGTCATTGAGTGTAGATGCGTCATGGGTGGCAATGGCCAGTAATGGATAGGCTAATGAAGGTTATGACATTGTGGTGCGTAGATATCTTCTTGCCAAAGGATATGCATGGAGGTTCAAAAAGCATAATAAAGGCATGTCCGCAAAACCGTTAGAATGCAAAAGTACACAGATTCTTGCGATGGCATTACTACATGGGTTTGTGCCTCAATGGTTTGCTTTATTTCATGGCTTGTTGAATGAAGCGCGTGAGCAGACATTGGTAAACAGTGTGCCCATATTCACTCGGTCTTACGAGTTTTACGCTCGTTACATCAGTGCACTGTTACAATGGAAACTCGTTAACTCATGCTTCTTAACGGCCGCTAATGATAGTGGAGACGTCTCAGACTTACCATTATGTGTAATTTTACAAATCTGCACCTGAAGGTAGTACGTCTGTGTGCGGAGACTAGCAAACCGTACGCCGGCTTCAAACCGGCAGCCCAAATCTACAGCATCAACTCCAGTCGCCAAATGCTGACCGTAAATTCCTAGACTTGCTTTTTCCAGTCGTGCTGCGTATGATCTGCCGCTATTGTATTCATCGTAAAATGTTAATTTTTATCGAGAATGAGAATTGAAACGCGAGGGCGTTCCCATCACGACCCCTGGTAGGCCAGCGTAGGCGGCCCCCGGCGATCAGCTGATAACAGCGGGGTTTCACACGATTTAGCTGAGATTTGCGCGTAGCCGTCACGTCCTTGCATAAAGAAGGGACTTGTGCTGCCAAGAGTCATGCTGCCACCGACATATGACGGGCGGGTGACAACAGAGGTGGCCGAAGTGTGACAGGCGGGTGACATAACAGAGGTAACCAACAAGTGACGAAAAGGGTATTACTGCTGAGGTGGCCAACATGCTACGAGCGGGTAGAACTACACCTGACCGACATATGACGGGCAAGTTACATCACAGAGATGACTGACATGTGACGGGCGGGGTACACCGCAGAGATGACCGACATATGTCGGGCGGGTTACACCACAGAGATGACCGACATATGTCGGGCGGGTTACACCACCGAGATGACCGACATATGTCGGGCGGGTTACACCACAGAGATGACCGACATGTGACGGGCGGGTCACACCACACAGATGACCGACATGTGACGGGTGGGTGGCGTCACCGGATGGTGACTCGTTGAGGGTCGTGTGACGGTCGAATGAGCCCAGAGCGGGGCCGGACACGTGACAGGTGTGTGGTGCCAGCAATGACGGAGTGCTGCCCTGCTCGGCACAGCGGGGGTCGGGGCGGACGGCTCAGTCCAGGGCGCTTGCAGCAGCCTCGGCGCAGGGCGACGCCTCGCACCGCTGGCCATAATCGGGCCCGGGGCCGGCCGCTCTGCGCCCCGCTGTGTCGGCCCCTTGTCAGGAGGTGCTGATTAAAACCCGGCGCGGCCGCCAGCTGCCGATGGGCTGGCGGCGGGGGGCCGACCCCCGCCAGCAGCCGCAGGGCTGACCCGCGCACCGAATCAAACCGCCGGCCGACTCAGCCCGCACCAGAAGGCCAACGGGTGGTAGGCGCCCAACCTCCTTTGTTTCAGCGGAATGTCCGATGCTAATTGCATCGCTTTGATGGCAATCGTGCGTCAGGGAGCGATATGATCGGCTTTCTGATGTGTCCTTTCAATGCTGGCCTTGCCGATGGCGCCGTGTGGGGGCCGACGGAGCCGCCGGGCTGGCGCCTGCACCGTGACCAGCGCGCGCCGTCCGAGCAGCGCAGCCAGGCCGCCACGCTGAGCCGCGGCACTCTGCGGTCAATTCAAGACGCCTGTGACCACCGAGGCCACTCACGTCACTGCCCAATTAGGCGACCGCCGCGGGCTGGAACTTAGCTACCGAAACTTTTACGCGATTCATATGCCAACCGCAGGGGAATATACCGATGTGCGTTACCGGGCCGGTCGGCGTCAGCATCGCTTGTACAAGGCTGGGCTACATCCTGGTTACCTCTGGAATGCCGCAGTGGTATCTCTATGTTATGGGCCTGGCCACAAAGCGACACGATGAGGTTCCTGGCCTGGGAACATTCCCGCGGGGTTGCAGGTGCAGGCTGAAGCTGCGCGGGGCCACTTCACACACACAAAAAAGCGTTAGCTTTGATCGTTCTCATAATAACCGGAGTAACGCGAGCGAGTAATCGCTTCTAGACAGTAACCTTTCATTTTTGCAGCGGCTGGTATCTGCGGCCTCCGAGTACCTGTACGCGGCGACCAATCAGCGGGCGTTCTTCGGTGACGTCACGGTGGTGGTGCCCAGTTCGTGGCCCCGCAGCTGCACGGGTGCTGACTCGCCGGGTCAGGCCACCACCGAGAGCTACCTGACCTCTGACCTGCGGGTCAGCAGCACCCACCCCGTGTACGGCTCGGCCCCCTGGACCCACCAGACCGGCCTGTGCGGCCAGCCAGGCGCGTTCATACAGCTCGCCGCCGACTACGTCTCCACGGGGCAAACCAGCACCCACGGGGACCAAGGTAAGCCGGGCACCTGAGCGGCTCATTTTCCGCTGGCCTTGTTTGCCGCGGCAGCCGCCACCTGTGCGTATCGATTCGTTCCGTTTCGCCCGCCGTTCGACCTTGCTCCTCTGGCACGTGCAGGGTTGGCTTTCAGTGGCCGTCACTGTCCGCCTGACCCCCCCCCCCCCCTCCCCCCCTTCCCCCGCTTCCACCTCACCCGCCGGCCCGCGGACACGCGTCCAAACGCGCCTGACAGTTCGCCTTTGACGGCGAGTTGACGAGCGGTTTGGAGCGGAACGGCTCTTTACAAATCGCGCCGTGTTTGCGAGAGATCCGGCGGGGTGCCGCAAACGCCCGGTGCACGGTCCGGCCGGTGTGTGCCGTTCACCGGAGCCGGCGGATGATGGGGCTCAGCAGCGCTCGACACGGCCGCCCCGGGACGGCTGTTGACCCACTGGACGGTATCTGTGTCACTCCCCACTGGCCCAGCGCACGTGCTGATACTCCGGGGCAAAAATGAGGCGACGTGTTTGTGCGCGTGTTTGTGTTTGTCTCAATTCGCCTCTACACCTTCTCCCCAGCGTGCGCGCTGGTGCCTGCACGTGCTCTGACGCGCCTCCGCACCCTCCCCAGCGCGCGTGCTGGTGCACGAGTGGGCGCGGTACCGCTGGGGCGTGTTCGAGGAGACGGGCTACCCCGGCGACCGGCTGTACCCGTCGTTCTACCAGGAGTCGGTCGGCCGGTGGCGGCCCTCCGGCTGCTCGAACGCCCCGGTGGCCGGCGTCACAGCGCCGTGAGTGACCGGCACGTCACTGTGCCCTCGAGCGCGGGCATTTACAGAATCTGCCGCGTGCGCTCGGGCCGCGAATGCCTGGCGGACGCCGAGTAAATGGCCCCGTCACGCATTCCACGCACACGGACCACCGCCGCCGCCGCCGCCGCCGCCAGCGTGCCAGATCAAAGCGAAATAGAACACCGCATTGTCCGGCCAACAGTGGCCAGACTGTTCATCTATCCCAGATGGCTGAGCTCTCTCTCTCTCTCCTCTCTCTCTC